AATAAATGAATGCTTCTTTATGTAGATCAGAAATTTCTTTCATAATATTATTGAAATCTTTTATGTATAATGCTTTCGCTGCAACCCAAATTTTACTCTCAAGTTTGGTTTTAAACTTTGAATTGATGTTTTTTTCAATATGCCATACACAATATGCATAGAAAGCATTAGGAAGTTTAGTTTGTATAGTGTCTGAGATACCCTATATACAGTATAAATAAAGATAGATATTAATAAATAATTATTAAAGTAAAAATAAATATTAAAAATCAATATACCTTTTCACGATCACTTATAATTATGGTTTTGTTTGTATTTATTAATGGAAGAGCCATACATAAATATTCACAAAACCATGTTCAATTATCCGAATTTTCGATAGCACAGATAGCAAATGCTATAGGAACAAGTTTGTTTTCGCCTTCAATTATGCTTACACTTAAATATACACCTTTGTAACTTGACTTTGAATGACAGGCATCAAAAGTAAACACAGGTCTACAATGTTCGGTAGCTTCAATCCAAGGCTTTAACATAGAAATGTACGAGTAAATCGATCTTCAGTATCAATTTCAAATACAGTAACACTTCCAGGATTCTCGTTGGATAGATTGTCAAGTAATGATTTTATATGTTGGTAACTCTTTTCTATTTCTTCTATACCACGTTTTCTATTAGCTGCTCGACTTCTTCATGCTTTCATATATGATATCTCAGCACCTACTTCAGAGTGAAGACGATTCATAATATCACGAGGTTTAAGTGCTGATATGTCCTCAATTAATGGCGCAGTAAATTTCTTAAGATATGAACCACGTGCTTTGAATGTTTCTGAATGAGTTGGGCAATCTTGATTATGATTAATTAACTTTACAATATAAATATATCCGTCTTTACGTTTGTTGGCAGAAATAATAAAAGAACATTTACTGGTTTCGTTTGTAGGACAAATAACAAGTAGTTTGTTGGGTTTATTGATTTGAAATTTATAAGGTAATGAAGTTTGAATGGAATAGTTCTCTAGAGCTGTACGAACATCTTCCATATTAGCAAATGACATGCCAATTTGTAGTATTGTACTTGACATTTTATTTAAAGCAAATAATTTAAGAAACCAAATATATTATTAATTTATAATTAATTATTA